AAACAAAACTTCAAGACCACGGCCACACAGCCCGGAAGACCCACACCAGCCATCGTATGCCGGCCGTGAAAGCCTTCGACAATACATTAAACCAGGTTCTGCCAGTTTTGTGTGTTGCTAGGTCAATTACTATTGGAGCTACTGTTGGTTTTCTGCTACTTCTGCCCACAAGAGGCTTTGTACAAACATGCTTTTACTGTTTTTATTCTTTTTCATTTTCTCTGAGGCCACCTGGAGGAGGGCTATAGCTATTGCCTTGCCTGGGCAAAAATCTCTGGACCAGTCTCATATGGTTGCAGTTCCTCAGGCTGTCTGCACAATGCTATGCAATGCGCCATGCTTACTTCACTGCAAAGTCATACAAAGCTGGCCCCAGATGAAGGTTGGGGACTGAGGGCAAAAAAGTTGGCTGTGGACCAGGAATTCAAAATCAGCTCCAAAGGCATCACTAGTAGGGCAAAGATGCTGAGGGATTTGCAAAGACTGTAGTTATTAGTGAGGAGAGAGAGAAGGAAGAGGTTCACAGTGCAAAAGTGGTAGGCTTTTGGGGGGGTTCTACTGGAGACAGCTGGGTGTGGACCTAAGTGGCAAGGTCAGGACAAAATAAATCCAGAATAAGCCCTGGCTTCTGTCAAGGCTAGCATGTTAAGCAAAGACAATTTCCCTTGACGGGAAAACAGTGGCCATGTGATGGACTAATGTATGAAGTCACATCCTGGCAATCACTTGATGGTAGAATTTTAGTCCCAAAGGAGGAGAAAATGGTTCTGATGCCTGACATATGAAGATAGGTGATGAAGTTGCCCAACACAAGAGGTTTTTCTTGAAAATAATTAAGAGGAATACATAATGCTGACATGACGCAGCAACAGCAGGAGGAAAATGGGTGGGAAGAGGGGTCTCATTAAATTGGCAACTGCTAGGAGCCCTTAGCGGTGGCTGCGTTTTCCTGAAGCCTAGGGCTTTCTTGGGAGCTACTATCGAAGCAACTACTTTACAAAGCAAATGTCATAATTTTCCAAAGTGAAATCCATCAGATCTGTACATTATGCTAGTTGTCCATGCCACCATTTTATGTACAAGTGCTCAATTGCGTTTACCATTTAAAGCCATGAAAATCTTTAATGTTTTTAAGAAAGCAAAATAGAATGTGACCTATCAAAGTCTACTGTACCTCACTAGCATGTTGGAATCCAAGGAAAACACTGGATATGGAAGTTCTGGAAGGGGAAGAGGAAGTCTGCATGTTCTATTACAGCTTTCCTTGTGGGGCTTTTTGCTACAAGGCCTTGCTCAGTTTTAAAAGCAGCACAGGTCACATGACTTAGGTGAAATAAAGGCCTGCATCAACATTGTCATGGCATTGAGCACAATGCTGGATAATCCCAGATACAAAAACAAGGCAGCACTCCAGAATTTCTTTTTTTAATTGAAGGAGTTTGGGCAGGCACATCAAATAGTAAAGTGAAGGAAAGTGCACCTGTTGATACTATTATTATTATTATTATTATTATTATTATTATTATTATTATTATTTTAATGTATTGGCCGCCCAACTCCAGTGGACTCTGGTGGCGTGCAAAACTAGGGAAAACATAAAAACAGCTAAAAATATTGAATCACACAGACAGCCCAGACTAAAATACTCTGCTAACAAAACCCACAAAACAAAACAGGGGCCACTAAACAATGACAAACATCAACCCCAGGCCTGGGACCAAAAGCCAAGTTTTCAAGGCTTTCCGGAACCCCAGGAGAAGGGGTGCCATCCTTATCTCTTGGGGGATGCTGTTCTAGAGGGTGGGGGCTGCAACAGAGAAGGCACACTTCCTAGGTCCCACAAGATGGCAACATTTAATGGAAGGGACCTGGAGTGCACCAACTCTGCTGGAACATACTGGGTGGGCAGAACCAGTTGGAGATAAGTGGTGTCTCAGATATCAGATTTTCTTCACAACTATTAAAAGAATCAGGGACAGCACAAGATGTCCAGTTGCTCCTTCCCTTCCCTTCCCTTCCCTTCCCTTCCCTTCCCTTCCCTTCCCTTCCCTTCCCTCCCCTCCCCTTCCCTTCCCTTCCCTTCCCTCCCCTCCCCTTCCCTTCCCTTCCCTTCCCTCCCCTCCCCTTCCCTTCCCTTCCCTTCCCTCCCCTCCCCTTCCCTTCCCTTCCCTTCCCTCCCCTCCCCTTCCCTTCCCTTCCCTTCCCTCCCCTCCCCTTCCCTTCCCTTCCCTTCCCTCCCCTCCCCTTCCCTTCCCTTCCCTTCCCTCCCCTCCCCTTCCCTTCCCTTCCCTTCCCTCCCCTCCCCTTCCCTTCCCTTCCCTTCCCTTCCCTTCCCTTCCCTTCCCTCCCCTCCCCTCCTCTCCCTTTGGCTTAAATGTGAAAACAGCCTGGGTGATCTCACCCATCATTCCTTCCCTCTGAGGCATCCTCCCTCAGGACAAGACATGGCAGTCTGAGTGGCCACCTGGGAGGCTGCAGCACCATAGGTTTGGCCGATGCTTGGGCCACCTGGTAGATGCTGTTCTTTGGAACATCTACCCGATGCACCCCTCCTCCTAGCAAGATGCTGGTGCTGCTGGAAGTTCTAGTGGGTCATCAGGAGTCCTTCCCCTTTGTAATGTTTGTGACAGCAGGCAATGAGTGGTAGGGGTCCTCTGGCAGGGGCAGAGCTTTATAAAGGGCTGGAGCTGGCTGGCCTCAGCTGTTGCAGGACAGAAAACCCAGCTGGAGGCAAGGGTCTCACGCTACCTGAATGGAGGTTGGGTCCTGAAAGGAATAGGAATCCTCTTCCTTGCTATCAGACATCCTGCCCACTTGTAAATGCCCCCTTCCTGTCTTGCCGCATTCATTCTGGAAATACAGTTGCCCTGGGTCTGATTTTACTGAAGAGAGTTATCTGTTCTGAAGCGTCTTCTGTAAATCTGGTTAAGTGGTCAAGGACCCCAAGAAAGAGAGCAGGCCTTGGAGGTTTCCATCATCTCTCTGCACTTGGGCAAGAGATTGAGTGGGTCTATAGGCCACTTGGTCATGTCTTCCCCATTATGGTTAAAGTATCATATCTCCATTTCAGTAATTGCAATTATTCTAAAATTATAGCTGCATGTATACATTTGGACATGCACATTTTATACAATTCTGCCTGAGTCCTTGTTTTTTTGTTATGTAAGTGACCACCCTATCCCCAAATCTCTAGTCAATTCTGTAGTTCTTTTTTCACACATGGTGTGGTTACTCTACCTAATTAGACTATCATGTTCCCAATGCAGAAATCCTACTCTAGTAGCCTGTATTTTCTCTGCCTTGACATCGCTGTTCCAGTCTAGTGGAATAGAAAACACCCCCATTTTTTTTCTGAGGCCAAACCGGCAATATAAATATACAAATGAGTAGGTTGGGAATGAACTCTATTCCTGGCATAAGGACCCTTGCGAATAATCAGAACAGATTCCATGTATCAACTATACACAATATGGTTCAAACACCGTCCTTGCATGTCTACACTTTTAAGTATACACTGTATAGGATCTGTTCAAACCTTGATCAAATGCATGAGAAAGGTGGAGATATTTTACCAGAACCTTTCTTTGCACTTAATCACATTGATATTCTTGGAGTTGTATGCCAATACTCTATTAGGTTTGCAACTGCCCGTTCTTTCTGTTCCCTTTTATTGCATTTTTCCTGCTAAACAGAACAGCCAATGAGCATGGTAGTAAACAGCCATATAATATCTGCCAAGAGAGATGGAACCTCAAAGAAGTGAGAACAAATAAACCAGGGCGTTAACCTGAAAACAAAAGTCCTGGCCGAGTCGCATGCCCTCCAGAGTTCTAAAGCAAGTCTGCCAAGGTGCTTACATAGGGATCAGAGCAACATACCTCCTGGCAGGCTTATTGGCCCACAACCCTGTTCCTTGTCCATCTTGTTTTCTTCCATGAAGATCCGTTTTATACAGATCCGCCATAACCCAAAGTGAGCTGCCTCACAGGTAGTGTTGTATTCCTCCACCTTGGGACTCAGCACAGCCCAGTGATCCGTCACCACTGCGGTAAACATCAAAGCAACACCTATCAGAATAATAGCAAAAGTCACCCGGACTTTGAAGGTCTTGGCTTCAGACATGGCTGGAAAGTGTACGGCTATAAAGAGGGGCTACTGCTGGTTCTGGACCGACTGGCCTCTGGCAAGGAGCACCGAGATCTGTTGGAGTCGTCTTCCAAAGGCTTGGCGTAGCTAAGCATTTTCAAATGTCAGCCCTGCAATACCAAAGGGGAGGGGGTTGGGGGCTGGGGGAAGATGGGCAGCCGGCTGCACGTACAGCTGTTGGGATTTATCAGATGACAGGCCTGGCTTGGACTGAGGAGCTGCTATTAATGTATAGAAGGGGTGAAGTCACCAGGGCTGTTTCAATTACAGTTTACGTAGGGAATTCCAAACCTGGACTTGAAGCACAACTGTGTGTAATGACTAATCCCTCCCCACGCCCCCCAAGTTAGCCCGATGCTGGAGTTGTGTGCATAGTCTGCAATAATAGTCATGAATACTATCTGGAAATACCAGCAGAATTTGAAATGTCTGCCTACTCCCAAGCTAAGTCAAAGGTTGCCTCAGGGAAAGCTGGGTTCTCTTTCTAGACTTAAAGTTTGGCTTGTATGCGTGGTTGCTTTTGGATCAAGGTAGCTTGTTCTGGCTGCTCACAAAGAGGGGCAAGAAGCTGGAATGAACATTAGGAATTTGCCGGTTACTGCTTAGTTTTTTTTCTCTCTTCTCAGTACCTTGTGCCATCAAAAGAAGCTTTTAATGTAGCTGATTTTTCTTATTAAATAATAGTTTGCAGGGAGAGTCTAGACAGGGACATGGGAAGGGATGGGAGAGATATTTAACCCTTTCTTCCCATGCTCCAGCTCCTTGAGAAGAAAACTGCCTTTGCATTCACATGAAAAAGAGCAGGCCCCAGCTGTCTCCCTGCTCTGTTTGCTTTTTAAACAGCAAAAGTCAGACACATTAAATCAGCCATTCCCAATATGGCATTGTGAAGTGGACTTGACTTCTTCCTATAACTGATGATGGCTGAAAAATTCTGGCATACCAGGAGCGGCCCTAGGTTGAGAAAGAGTGGTCAGCTGCTTCAGCTTCAGCCTGGGAACTGTAGGGGCTTTTCATGGCTGGGTCTGGTGTCAGAAAGCCCCAACATCTGTTGCTAAGGCCAAATGAGAGGGTGTGGTGATGAGCGGGCAAGAGGAGAGGCGGGAAGCCCTTTAAGTCTAGATTCTACAAGATTCCAAACCAACCCTCCATAGAAAGTGTAAATCCCTTCAAGGAAGGTGTTGAAAGGAGGGAAAGAGGGAGAAAGAACAGGAGTCACCTTCCTGCCCTTCCACTAAGCCAGGTTTTTGGAGGTCTGCCAGGATTTGAAATGGAGTTTCAAACAGGGGGCGGGGCGGGGCGGAGCTCTTCACCTCAGGAAAGACATCCTGATTGGTCTTTCTCTGGTAGTTGAAGATGATTTAGGATAAATAAATAGTCGTTAAATGTATATCCTGCCTTTCCTCCAGAAGATCAAGATGGTGCTCATAGTGCTCCTTCCTTCTATTTCCCCACAACAACTACACTTTGAGCTAGGTTGAACTGAGAGAGAATGAGTGGCTGAAAGTCACTCTGGGTCCCCTTAACCACCACATCACACCAGCTCTCTCATATGCTTCCTGCAGAGTATGTTCTCGTCTTAATTTATGCTCCTCTTCTGTTGTTGAGTCTAAAATGATTTTTCTTGTTAATGTGTGATGTGAAGTGCATTGAGTGCTCTGCGTTGAAGTGGGAAAACTGCTTGAAAACTTGTTGCTGACTAATTTTCTGACAAACCAGAGATTTTGCTTGTGTTGCTTTTAGAATCAGATGGCAGCTTCTATCCCTGAAAAAGCTTGCACACCTGGCTTGTAGTAGCAGGCACAGAAGTCGGCCAAGGAAAGGTGAGCAGAAGTTGCTCTGAAGAGAGACCGAAAGCAACAAGACCAACCAACCTTTCCAAACAATTTCTGATTTCTATTCCAGAATCAGTTTGTATATAATTAGAGCACAATATTAGTGTATCCCTTGAAGCAAGATATAACTTGAAAGATCTAAATATCACCTACCATCTATCTATCTCTATCAGCTATCATCTATCATCATCGTCATCATCTATAGTATATCTCTATCTCCATCCATCCATCCATCCATCCATCCATCCATCCATCCATCCATCCTCTATCTCTATCTCTATCTCTATCTCTATCTCTATCTCTATCTCTATCTCTATCTCTATCTCTATCTCTATCTC